GGGGCCGGGCGCGGTTGGCCGTGCCGGGAAGGCCGCACGCTGTGTCGCTGCTGGTGCTTCGCTCCGGGCCCAGGCCGCCGCCTCCTCCCTGCGGTTACACAACTCTGAGGCGAGTAAAATTCCAGTAGTAGCATCAAAGTGATGCAACAGAATAATACATCTGACTCCACTCTGTTTCAGTTCAGCTGAAAGTGGCGTGCTCTTAGGCCTAAACAAAGTCTTTAACAAATGAAGTTTAGCTACAGGTGGAGAAGGCAAGAATTAATTTTTTTTTTTAATTAAAAATATCAAATGGAAGTTAACAGACAGTGGTAAGAAAGCCACTCTGACAAAATCACAGTCTTAATCCCAATATTTACTCAAATAATTAACAGAAGAAGAAATTCCCTTGTGTCGTGAGTCAACAAAATACAAACCACCATCAATCTGGCAATCCATATGAGATGAAAATACTGGCCATGAATTTAAATGAAGTGCCAAACTGCTGAACATAATCAGGAAGAGGTATGAGGAAGAAACAACGTCAGGGAAGAATTTGTAGATTACAGAGGGAGAAGTATGAAAAAAGTATAGGTACAGTAGCTTTGTGCAGAAGAATTCAGGAAGAAGAGGGTGTACTAATATGCTCCTGTGACCAAGTAACAGAAAGGATTGAATGCTATAGCAGTGATGAAATGAAGAAGAAATAAATGAACAAAAAAATGGATTTTTGCCAAAGGACACAATACACTGAAATCAATGCATTTGTTGGATAGCTAAACTGTGTTTGTCTAAGTAATAAATAGTGGCTTGAAAAATGGTGGGATATGATGTGATCACAAATGGAAATTTAGTAAGTGGAGGGAGTTTACAGAGGTTTGGGTCATACTCTTAAAATATTTCCAAACCTTTTCATTTGTGATGCCAAAATTGGTTTTGTGGTTTATTTGTTTGTTTGGGGGCATTTGTTGATTTGTTTGCTTGGGTTTCTTCACTAATCAGTTGCTTGCTGAATAAGCAACAGGTAAGGCAGATCACAGATCAGAAACAGCTTATTTAATCAGTGCAACTTGCTATAACATAGTCTTCCTGAGCAAAGCACTTATTTATACAATATTGATAACTCTTTATTTTTTTTTGTTTTGGAGGAATCAGGCTGAATTTGAATAGTCTTACAGTGACTGAACAAAAAGAGTACTGGGAACATGTAAGTAACAAGCTACCTATGTCAAAATGAATGGGTTTCCTTAGGTCAAGAAAGAGCCATAATTCTTATGCCCTGTTCTTAAGAATTTCACCACATACTGTTAGTCATGTGGGTATGTGGAAATATAAAAAAATATTTTATGTCTCTACATACAGTAGATACAGTTCTAACCATAATGTGGGGCAAATGGACAAGACTTGATAACCACCTTCCAGACAAAGCATTCAAAACTGCTATGTTGAACTAGTAATTTCTCTGCATTACTTTTGCATACGTTTGTTTTTTCCCAGTCAAGATGGTTAACTTATTAACTCATCTTTGAGTATTAGTATTTGACTTCAGCAAACTTACCTTCTTGCTGAGCCAAGTAACACGTTGATACCCTAGCACCAATGATGGAATTTATACATTTAGGAGGTCTCTGCAACATCATTTTGTCTCCCCTAAAAAGAATTTCAGAATGAAATCTCATTGTTCTGAAATCATGTGGTGCTCTTCTGAACTTTACCAAATTCAATGCATTCTAATTTGAACCTTTTTTCTTTAGTTTTTGCTTTAGAGAGGTGAATTTCACCATGTATGATGTTTACTGAACTTGCTTCCAAGAGCAGTCCATTTCAACAGACTTGAACATATATAATCATTGCTGAAGTTTTAGTTTGACTTTCTGCAAACTGACTGTATTTGCTTCATGTGTTTTCTTTTGGCAGATACAATATTTTGAAGACTATAGTTGCTCCTACAGCTCTGTGAGATACCAGTAACACATGCCCTTGTCTCAGCCACAGAACAAAGTGGGAGTACAGTAAACGTGGTCTTTGCAAAACCAGCTTGAATGTACACATTGTCTTACAAAAGATAATATACCAAAATGCAAAAATACTAATTAAGTTCTCATAACCAACATAGATAATGACAGGTACTACTGTGAAATTGTAGATGAGCAGATAAATAGCTTTCTTGAGAAGAAAGATGTTTTACCAAAGTGTTCCAAGGTAATTTAATGTAAACATCCAGTGCATCCCTCATTTCTGCATTAACAAGCTTCAAGCTTATGGGTAACAGCATCTAGCTAGGTGTTCTCCTGACCTCTGGGTTAGATTGCCTTCAGGGACACAGATGGAGGATTTTTCATGGTGTTTAAGCCTTAAAAGTTTGCAAAATTCTTTCATGGGACTGTTAAGTGCTTTCCTTTTGACACCCCCCTCCAGAGAAGAAATCCAGGAGGCTATTGCCTGTCTACAGATTAATTTTCCTCGGGTTTTCTTTGTTGCTTAACTGCCTCATCAAGCATAGGTATATTGTAAGCTATAGTTTATTTTCCATGTGAGTCAGTGTAAGTGATCAGACGCATCTAGATACAGATACACATTTCATGTTTCTTCCTGAACATCCTACACACAACTGCAAGAGGACATTAGAAACCAACAAATTTTCTGAATCCTGAACTACATTTTTAGATAACCAAAGTTAGACATGCATTTTCAGGTGGAGTCAGCAAAGAAAATTTAACAGAGATTGAGCACTGGTCCCTGCCTTATGCATTATATCATCCATTTACATGTTAAGCAATAAGCAGTATGAGAAGAGTACTTCTTCCAGTAGGCATAACTCCAACTTCCATATAAAATTTGGCTTGTTGTCAATAACCAAGAAGCATTGAGTAAGTACTTTTCCAGTAATTGAATATAAGGGGATTACCTAAGAAGTGCTAGTCTCTCCACCCATTGTTGTAATTACTGTGTTAGTAAGATACTTAGAGTTTTCCATGCTGTTGAAAACTAGGCGCACAGCTGACTGGAAATCACACTGAGATTATACCCATAGATTTTCAGACAGATTTCATCCTGAAGCATCTGCCAACATTCTTGCTCACCCTCTGTATTCTTACTTATGTCCATTCTTGAAGAAGTCACTTTTTTGTAATATTCTATTGGGAGGTTATTTAGAAAGATGTTGATGCTACATTTTCAATCAATAGTGATGCTTTGAAGCTCACCTAGCACTGCCTGTTGTAAAGCCATGTTGTCTTTCAGTTACCACCATACCCTAATAATTTGGCTACAACTTCCATTCTAGCTCTCTGACTCTTTTGGTGGTGGTGGTGGTTGGGGGGGGGGAAGTTACTTTTAGTATTTCCAGAAAAAAAAATGGAGAAATGTACTTGCTTACAGTAAATTCTTCAGGGCTTTTCTTCAGAATACTCCAACATTCTAGGCTTTGCAACAAGCACTTGTAGTTTAACAGTAAAGTAGCCTTCACAAGTACAAAGATATGTTTGTGATCCCCTGAAAATCTGCCCAATTTGTCACAGTTGTATGTCTTTGAAAAATATGTTTGCATGTGGTTACTGCTAGATCTTAAAAGCTTAATTATCTGAAGCCCGTTCTTATTGAGAGAGTTAAGCTTCTTGCAGCTCCTGTGTGGGGCCAGCCTGTGTATGTATAATTGTGGTAGGTAAATGAGTATGATGAAAGGCACAGGTCAGCAGGGCGACTCCTGTAATGGTTGCTCCAGCTGCTTTTCACTGGTTGAGCTGTTGCCTAGATTAAAAAGCAGGAACTGTCCCTCCTATACACTTGGTTGACTACTTTGGTGGCACATAAATGGATAGAAACATCTGATTTGAGTGAAAACAGAACGAAAATCAAGGAGCAAAGCAGTTCATGATTATGTAATGGATG